GCCGTTGGTTTTGTCTTCAAGGCCAGCGTTTAGCGGGGGCAAACTTAGCAATAAATCAGCTACTGGAGAAACGGGCAATCATAGAACTTCCTCCAGGGGATCAGACATGCGGGTTTTATTCACCGGTATTCCTAGTCCCCAAGAAAGATTCGGACCAATGCACATAATAATAGACTTGAAAGTGTTGAACAAGCTATTTTTTAGGAAACCGCCAAAGTTCAGGATGGAATCAATTGCAAACCTACGCACCTTGATTCGTCAGGATTCCAAGTTTATAAGTATACATCTAAAGGATGCGTATCTTCATATCCCTATTCATCCAAGATCTCGCAAATACCTAAGATTTGCGGTGAACTGTCGCAGGTTTCAGTTCAGGGTGCTGCCGTTCGGGATATCTCTAGCGCCGTGGTTGTTCACAAAAATAATCTCCCCCGATTCTGGCTTTTCTTCATCAATGAAGGATTGCGATACACGGCTATCTGGACGAGTTCTTGGCAAGGAATGTGGTGACAGCGGTTCTCATGAAGCAAACCAACTTTATAATCCACGTGTTTACACATCTGGGTCTAATAGTTCATCCTACCAAGTCAGAACTGGTCCCTTCTACGAGAATCAAGTTTCTGGGAGCAATCTTGGACTCAAGAGCAGGCTGTATTTATACTCCTCAGGATCGTTGGGTGGAAATATCAACCAAGATAACCAATATGTTACAGACGCCAACTGCATCAGTTCGTTCATGGATGTCCCTTCTAGCATCTCTCAGGAGTTTCATTACATCCTCGTTTACCGGATCTGACACTTTATGTGGATGCCTCGAACACGGGTTGGGGTGCACACATGGACATTTGGCAAATTCAAGGTGTGTGGAATCTGTCAGAGGTGAATCTGCATATAAACTGTCGGGAGATGTTAGCACTGTTGAAAGTGATTCGTTGCTTGGGGAATCGCTTGTACGGGCAGGAAGAGTCTCATGTTAGTGTCGGACAATTCTACGGTAGTGGCATACATCAACAAACAGGGAGGTACCAAATCTCAACAGCTCCTCGGGATCACTCAGGATCTGTATCAAGCAGTGGACGCTATAAATTGTTTAATCAGAGCGCGCCACATTCCAGGTGGGAAGAATATCCTAGCGGTTTCATTATCCGACAGGACAGAGTGATCTCGACCGAATGGACTCTCAAGGAAGAGGCATTTGATTTAATAGGACAGAAGTGGGAAATTCCAAACATAGATTTATTTGCGACTTCCAGGAATTTTCGGATACCAACGTTTGTGAGTCCAGTACTGGATCCATTGGCATGGGCAGTCGACGCCCTATCCATATCATGGGAGGGGATGATAGCCTATGCGTTTCCTCCGTTCAAACTAATCCCAGAGGTTCTGTTAAAAATTCAACAACACGACTGCCTAGTTTATCTAGTGGCACCAGCGTGGCCTGCCAGACCTTGGTTTCCCACCCTACTACAACTATTGGTGGACAAACCACTATGTCTTCCGTTGTGGCACAATCTAATCAAGTCCAACAAAGTTCACAAGAATGTCAGGCAACTTGCGCTACACGTATGGAAGCTATCTCAAGGTCACTCAGGAATCAGGGATTTACGGTTGAAGCTACCAGAGCTATTTCAGAATCCTTTAGACCTTCCACAGCTGCCTTGTACGACGCTAAGTGGCGACGATTCATCCAGTGGAGACAAGAGTGTGGAATCTTGGATGTACCTGTCACCATTCCAATGATAGCGGATTTTATCTTGTTCCTTAGAGAACAGAAACATTTGAAGCATAGTACTATTGAGGGATATCGATCAGCTATTGCTTCAGTAATGGATGTTCAAGGTTTATCTATGGGCTCGGATACATCGCTTCACAAAATGATCAGATCTTTTCAGATTAAGGATATATCGTCTCCAACGATATTTCCTAAGTTGGATTTAACGTTAGTACTTCAATCTCTTCAAAAATCTCCTTATGAGCCTATGCAGGATGCTTCTCTAAAGTATCTGGCATTTAAGACGGCTTTTCTTTTGGCATTTGCAACAGCTTCCAGAGTGTCGGAATTACATGCTATTGACTTTAAATCCATCACTTTTTTCGGAAGGATATAAACAGATAACTTTTAGAACTGTGCCGGAGTTCATTGCCAAGAATCAAATTTCAGCTTGAGGTCCTTTGGGACATAGGATATATCATATACCTCAGCTTCCTATCTCTACCTCTAGATCGGATAGGACTAGACTTTTGTGTCCCATACCTGCCTTGCGCTGGTACATTCAGCGTACTTCGACGTTTAGACGAAATCGTCGCAGACTGTTTGTTTCATGTAAAACAAATGTAGACTCGGAGATATCCAAGAATACCATATCTTCATGGCTCAGAAAGACTATATGCTTTGCTTATAGGTATCAGAATCAAGACTTAATTGATCTTAAATTCTCCCCCCATGAAATTAGAGCCCTAGCTTCATCCTTAGCGGCTTGTCCGTCAGTTCCATTAGAACAAGTTGTGTCTAGTTGTCAATGGAAATCTCCTAATACCTTTATCCAATTTTACCTCAGGGATGTTGCTCCCTCTATTGAAGGTTTACATTCATTAGGACCATTAGTAGCGTCTCAGCAACTTGCCTCCGCCTGACTGCCCCTTTGTGTGTGTGTGTGTGTGCATGCGTGCGTGTGAGAGATCTACATCTTCAGGATGGATGAGAGATGGTGCCTGGGACTGTCTGAGGGTCCACTCGGAATGATGATGGATGGATACTGGTCAAGGGGCAAGACAAGTTGACATGGTAAGAGAATTTACATTTACATATATCACCTAACCGAGCACAATATGGACGGAGTTCTAACTTCTGAGCTATGGTTCATGGCTTCACGTTAGAATATGATTATGAGCTCAAGGTGGTTACCTAAGGTTGAGTTGAACACAATTATAGTCTAATGATAGTTAACCGGAAGTGACGTCATACAACCGGAAGTGACGTCACCCAAACTAATTAGTATTACATCATAGAGATTGTCTCTAGGAACCGGGAGTGAGGTCATCAAACAGGAAGTGATGTCATAATTACCGGAAGTGGCGTTTTAAGTTTAAGGAATATTAGGTTTAATGACACAATTCGGGATTCAAATAGAATCATGATATATTCATAGGAATCTAGCATAATGAAGGATTTAAGGAGTTAGGAATTATATAATTCCTACCAATATGGATTAGGATAATCATGATATCTATCATATCAACCATAACTATAGGCAGTTAGAAGACTCTCCATCTCTGGGAATGTATTCCCTCACTGCTACTGACCAAACTGGAGATAAATTATTTATCTCTGACTAAGTCATAGTTATTCTTAGGAGGTTGAGTAATCAACTCTCAGTTAGTGGTATAGAGGGTAGTATCTTCCAGGGGTAACCCTCCTTCCTTACTTGGGATTCAGGCTACCATAATCCAGAGGGAATGTTTACGTTATAATTAGGAACAATTACATGTATTGTTAGTAATTGTCAGTAAACTTACCTCTGGATTATGGGGAGTAGTTCCCACCCTGTGTCCTCCCCGCGAATTTATCCTTAGAAGATGTCATTGATGGGTTGTTTTTTAGAAAAATTATGAAGGGTTCTAGGAGAACAATACAGTGACGTCAGGATCAAGGGAGATAACTCAGGGGTAGATTAGGTATACCACTAGGAATAGCTATGACTTAGTGTTAAAATTTCTTTTGATTTTCTGTATGTATTCTGTGAATCCACAGGAATAAGGCTAGAGAATAATCCAGAGGTAAGTTTACTAACAATTACTAACAATACATGTAATTGTTCCTTTTTCGACATTTATTGCAAGTCATTTTTAACGTTGAGCGTATAATGGTATGCATAAGCACACAAACCCATTTCATATGCACTTATGTCATTCAGATATCAGGATGTATTTTCTTCGCTCACACTTTCCGTAAAGATGCCAAATTAAAAAAATCATAGCACAGTGCTTTTCTCGGTGCACGATAAAAAGAGGAGATATTTACTGTTTTTTAACACATAACAAAAAAATTGGACACCATTTAGCAGTGTCTATTTTTCAAACTGCCGAGGTAGTTGCACTTGTATTTATTATACCAATGGATATGAAATTGAATATTCTACATTTTTTTGGTCATTTTATAGCCATATGCAGATCCAGGACCACACGAGCTCAATACTCTCACAATGATCACTTTTCAAATCTTATGAAACTGTGTGCATGAAAAAAAACTTGGCTTAGGGGGTTAAGCAACAAACCAAGCAAGCAACCTTCTCTGGTGCAGGACTGTCAAACCGAATGACTATTTCATGGTGAAACTTGCTAAACTCATACCTTTTGGAGATTTATGTTTATTTAATTACCTGTATCTTTCCATGACATCAAATTGGACTTGCACTGAAAATGAAGGTAGTGTTCCCGAGCAGAACTCCCAAGTCACTGACTACGTCTTAGTAAAACTTGCTTTACACATCAGTCTTGTGGTACATTGGTGCCTTTTGATCATTTGGGATGTTGAAGGATAAAACCTGAACCTTTTATTTTCTTCAGAAATAGCAAATAAGGCTGTTAAACACTTTGTCATGTCAGTTATTGAAATTAGTTTATTTATAGAGGATATGTAGTGTATAAGTGTATAGTGTCTAATTCATTTAAGATATGCGTGTACTATCATTATGGCATGAAACAAAAACTGTAATTAAATTAATATTCATTGATTCTTGAGAGAGACATTTCTTTGTGAGGTTGTAATAAGGTTTGTGTGTTATAACTGTGTCCTGATGTTCTATGTTCCAAACATCAATCAAGGACATGTACAAAAGGTATTCAGTGGCTTCTGAGCCAGAACTCTGTTTATTTGTTTTTACTATAAGCTATTGACGTGAATCGAATAATATCTCATTGGTTTTCCAGCAATACACATAAAAAGCAATAAATGTGAATTTTTTATTCCACTGGTTGTTGATTTTTTCCCTCTTTTACAGAATTCTCAAGCTTGTGAGGCAATGAATGGTTGTTTGATGTGTTTAGCACAAGAGTATCCAAGGGTGAAATTTTGCAAAATTCAGGCATCAGCTGCCACTCTGAGTGGAAACTTTGTAAGTATGACAAGTGTTTTATCAATGCTCCATGAAACTGATATGGTTTCATGTGAGATTAGGGAATTGAACATTCAGAAACATTGATATGATATATAGCAGCAAAGTGGGATTTAAATGTGTTTATATTTTTCTCTGAATGTACAGAACCCAAACAGCTGAAATTGTACAAATACCTTTTTCTATTTGTTTTGGTAGAATATGATGAATAGGGCTGTGCAATATTACCGGTAAACCGGTATATACCAGTACAGTGTCTCGCGATACAATTATTCTGCAATATTTTTGGTCATTCAGAGTTAGCTCCCTTTGAATGATCTGCCCATGATTTCTATGGCAACAAAATGTGCTCTAAAAGTGCAAAATATACTTTAATTTCTGTTGTTTTCATGTAACATTTTATAAGTGGAAGTATCTTTATAAGTGGCCCCAAAAGTTCCCAATATTCTACCAAATGCTTTAAACTTTGTGGATTTGAATGGTTTCATACATGACCATTTGGAGGAATTAAGTGGCCTCAAACGGACCAATCTTTTAAGAAAAGCAAGATTTAAATATGCCAACTTCTTGTTGTGGATAACACAATGTATCGGAATGTATGTTCACTCATTCCTTCATCAAGTCATAAAGGAGCAAGCATACACTCCGTGCTATTCACAATAAAGAAGTTGACATCCATAAATCTTGCTTTTCTTATGCATTCCACTTCTAAATGTCCTTCAAAGATTTAACCAATCTTTTATTTGAATTTATTAGTAGAGCTTCGGGCTCTGAGTGACCATTTTGTTTGTTGTATAATGGGACGTATGTTATCAATTTATCAAAAAGGCCAAAATCATATATATTTTGTACCACTGTATAATGACATTCTTGTCAAGGATTTTAGTTATTGGAGGTCACATGAGGTTTTGACCTCAAGTAGTTCATCTAAATCATGTTTTTGTTTCATTTTGCAATGTTTCATGTTAACACATGTTTATATTGGAGCTGAATCTGAATGAATCACTGACAAACAGTAACAATAATTACATACTGCATTGAAGAGCATTCTGTTGAAGCAAACAACACTGATCATGAAAATCATGTTATACTATTACCTTTATCATTATGTTCGCAAAACTTTGTTGCAATACAGTACTTCAATTAAACATTCTACGTTAAGGCTCTATATAATTTTTTATATATCTGTAAACCATTGGCATACAGCCATACACAATGTAGACGGGGAGCCTGAAGGTATGGTGTAACAGCAACTAAGAAGATGATGTCACACACAGAGAGCTATTATGAATTTATGATGTATGCACTTGGGCAGAAACCTTCCAGTTAATATATCACAATATGTATTGCAATATCTCTTAAATTATTGCAATATATCACAATATGTATTGCCTGCCATATCTCTTAAATCATTGCAATATATCACAATATGTATTGCAATATCTCTTAAATCATTGCAATATATCACAATATGTATTGCCTGCCATATCTCTTAAATCATTGCAATATATCACAATATGTATTGCAATATCTCTTAAATCATTGCAATATATCACAATATGTATTGCAATATCTCTTAAATTATTGCAATATATCACAATATGTATTGCAATATCTCTTAAATCATTGCAATATATCACAATATGTATTGTAATATCTCTTAAATTATTGCAATATATCACAATATGTATTGCAATATCTCTTAAATTATTGCAATATATCACAATATATATTATTCTTAAATCATTGCAATATATCACAATATGTATTGCAATATCTCTTAAATCATTGCAATATATCACAATATGTATTGCAATATCTCTTAAATCATTGCAATATATCACAATATGTATTGCAATATCTCTTAAATTATTGCAATATATCACAATATGTATTGCAATATCTCTTAAATTATTGCAATATATCGCAATATGAGAATCAGGGCCCTAATGATAATTAACATCTGTGTAAATGTAGTCATGCCATTAAGAGTGAGTGAGTTAAAATTATAGGTCACATTGGCAATATTTCAGCCATAACATGACCAATTTATTTTATTCCAATTTCTTCATAGAATTGAACATAAGTAATTTCTTGTCCTCACACTACATACTGCAAGTTAAAAACTTCACATTCTTTCTTTGACTTGCAATGGCAAATGGCGTCTGATTCCTCTGAAGTTGTTTGACTGCAAAACTTCATTCATTTGAACTAACTGTTCCAAGAACTATTTTGGTATATTAGCTTCCACTGTATCCACATTCCTTGTCCATACAGGTAACACCATCAGAGAGCCAGAAGTAAGCATGAGCAGGAGCATCTCAAATTTTCCAATCCAGTTTGTCATAAGTTACTTTAATATACATATTTACTTTAAATTATCACTGCATTTTTATAATATATGTTTAATGTTTTACTGGAGTGAAAACAATGCTGAAGGTGCAAAAACTGTTACCAACAATGAAATTACGTTTTCATAATTTGAGACTTGAAATCACACTGTGTCAAAACACCAAATGGTGCCATATGCTGCAGTTATATGCGCCCTAGTATCGTATATATAAATTAAACAACGCAAGACCAAAGTTTTTATTTCAAACATGCACTGATGATGTGGACTAGGGTCATGACAGCAATATGTAGCATTTGTAGCCAAGATTGAGCTCTGAAACAACCAGACCATAGACATTATTCCATACCTGCTCTAAGTACAACTTCGTCACTATATGGCTGAAATATTGGCGAGGTGACGTTAAATTCTAACTCACTCACTCACTCTAAGTACAGGGGCGGTGGGGTAGCCTAGTGGTTAAAGCGTTGGCTCGTCACGCTGAAGACCCGGGTTCGAATCCCCACATGGGTACAAAGTGTGAAGCCCATTTCTGGTGTCCCCCGCCTTGATGTTGCTGGAATATTGCTAAAAGCGGCGTAAAACCAAACTCAGTCAGTCAGTCAGTCACTCTAAGTACAACTGTGGATCATCCTGATCAACTCCTACACTTAGTGCAAGCCTCACAAATGACACAGAGAACAGCTTTCATATCTTGTAAGACTGCTCCCAACAAAACTAGGGCCACAATCGCAGGATAGCTTTTGACAACAATTTTGAAAAGTTTGTGCCATACTGGAATTATCAACCAACTTTGTGTCATGGAGATTGCTTTTGATGGAATGAGCATTTTCCTATTGCTAGTAGAATATGTTCTCTGGTTTCTATGTTTATGACATCCAACCCAATTTAACCCTCTGGATGCCAAGGTTTTTTTCTGATGCACATTTTCATAAGATCTGAAAACTTAGACCCAGTGCTGGACGAAAAAAATTCTCTATCTACAACTGTAAAATTACACAGAATGTAGAATATTAAATTTCCTATCCGATGGTGTATACTCAAGTGCAAATACTTCTGCGGTATGAAAAATAGACACTGCTAAATTTTGTCTGAAATTTTGTTGTGCATTAAAAAACAGCCAATTTCTCCGCTTTTTATCGTGCACAGATAAAAGCACTGTGTGACGATTTTTTTAAATTTATCATCTTTACAGAAAGTGAGAGCCAACAAAATACTGCCTGATATCTGAATGACTTAAGTATATATGAAATGGGTTTGTGTGCTTATGTATAGCGTTACATTTTGTGCTTATGTATAGCGTTACACACTAAAAATTACTTGCAATAAATGTCAAAAATAGATTTTCCTTTATGAAGTCAAACGACGACGGAGACATCATACACGCATAAAGATAATTGGACATAACTTGGCTATGCTTAATACTAGGTCATTGTAACTCAGTTTGCTTGGAGAGAATTTGCTGTGAATACGGACACTATATTTTCATGATGTTTTGTTCACTATGGACCAAACTAATCCAGTTCAAAGTTCCACACCGTAACCGGATAAGTTTTGGTAATGTAATAGCGAATTGGATGGCTATGTGTATGCATGTATGTTCAAGTTTAATGAAATTACTGAAAATTCTACATTTTAGTTGAAATCAAGTCTTGTTTTATATATTTTGCGACGTCAGAGAAAGAGACAGTGGTATGTTGATTAGTATATATATCTCACCTAATTTCTATTAATTGTATAAAAGGCTTCGATTAAACAATGCCATTTAGAACGTGGTCAAATGTAACACTTTCTTATTAAAGTACAAATTCTAGTACTGTTTTTGGTTGAGTCCCATCCGGGATTCGAACCCACACCCTCAGAGTCAGGCACCTAATCGCCAGCACACAAAGTCAGCCGCCTAACCCGCTCAGCCACCGCAACTTCCACTTTTATATCCCAAATATAACATATGTTAAAAGGTTTCGGTTTATCTGTCAGAATTTGAAGCTCTTTCGACAGAAAATAAAATGACTGATTTTACCATTTAAATAATGTCCTGAGTAGATAAACAATTAGCTGGTTTGAGTGTGTATCTTGATGTGAACAACACCCGCACCCATTTGACATCAATTTCACGCAATTAATAACGAATACCGGTACTGAAAAGCACACAGATATATTTTTTAGGATAAGAGTTTTCTTTGTTTATGATTATTTTGCTATTTCTCTTCTTCAGTATGCAATGAAAGATGCAAAAACATAGCTCTCTTTGTATGGAACTATCAAAATAATAATGTGAGGTTTGTCCAAAGTATGACATGACATAGTCTATATATTTTTTTAAGTTTTCGTAGAAATATAGTTACAGTTTGATATCCTGTCATTACAATATTTCTTTTCTAATATGAATTGAATATATATCGAAATATCGAAAATAATGATAGTAAGTCGTAAAATGTTTGTGACAAACGCACACCTGGCCAATCAATGTACAACACTGTTTTGTCAATAAGACGAAATAAACAAATTCAAGGAAAAATACAATTCCTTTAAAAAAGTGTGCTTATACATTTCATAAAATATATAAATCATTTTCATTAATATTGTCAGTTTTACTTATAAGGTTAACTTAAATTGCTGTTCACTACCTGTTCATATGAAACTGTAATTTATTGGTCCCAATAACGAATATTGCACATCATAGGAACTAGAGTACATGTTGCAGCTATGCCTAAGTTTAATCTTCTAAAATTTGTGTAAGGGTTAAAATATGGTGCACTGCACTAAATGTGTCAATTTCTTATGTAAATACTGTTCAAACAAACAGAAACTTTCAAAGAATAAAAAATGATGTATACCCTATATCCACTATACCCAACATGATATTTAACAAGGCTAAATGTAGATAATGAAATTAATTTCATGAAAAGATATCAGAACGATGCCCAAAATATACATAATAATACTGAAAGGGTAGTCGGTGGGATTGTGATTGTGTTTACTCTTATTCAACCGACCATCACCTCAAAGAAATTGCCAAATATGTACAGTAATGTCACTAGCTATGACCAATTTCTTACAAATTGGCAATCAGGGATCATTTGTACATGAATATGTGATGTAAGTAATCAGAATGATATATATGTCTTTATCATTTTCATTGTGAATAAAAGAGGAAGCCAGAATTGCCGATAATTACTGTTGTCATGCTGTGTGATTATGCGTCAGTCTTGGCGTTACGCTGCACAGAAACTTTGTTTTGTATAAACACATCACATTACTGTATTGTATCTATTTTAAATTTGATATTTCTTGCTACGTTACTCTTTCCATGCATATTCTGAAAGTATTGAGAATATGCATGCTACTAATAGACGAATGGGTGTCTGAAAATTTCAGAAAATGCTACACAGTGTAAAATCTGAATATTTCTTTGTTTACATTTCAAACAAGGTTTGTCTTTTCACGTCCAATATCTTTCATTTCATTTCATCTAGACACTAGGTATTGGTGACAAAGACCATTTGTAATTTAATTCTAAAATGTATGAGAAATTCAGTAATGCATTTGTCACAGCTGAATATGAAATATATATGATGCAATAGGCGTCTCAATACCGAAACATGATTTTGTAAACACTATCCGATCTGGCCGAACGCGCACTTCGGCGTATGTGTTTGTGTAATTTTTAAAACATTCCAACTGATTCTAGGTTCATCAGCAATGTTCAGAATTATCGTTAGTGATTTCATGAAAAAATTATATCAATATGCCAAGTAATTGTTCAAATTTTACATTTCAAAACATACACCAAATAACACTGTGAATTGAGATTTCGTAATTGTAAAAAATTGCGACATCAAAGTGAGGGTTGAAGAGGAAGGACATATAATTATGTCCCTCTAGCCTCCAGGGGGTTAAGCAGGCTATGCTGGTTTGTGCAGATATTGGACACTCTGAATGTTTCCTAATAAACAGCAGAATCTGACTGCAGCCTCAGCTTTGAAAGGAAGGTTAACTTTATTACATTTTATTGTCTCCTGTCATTGAGGTGAGGTGAAATTGGGTTTTACGTCGTGCTTGAGAATATTTCGCTCATATGACGATGTGCATGCATGTGTATGTGTATGTACATGTGCGGCTGCTTGTACTAGCCCAGACTGAAGCTGGTTTTATAGAGCTAGCCGACTGAGATACCATGCCACAGTGAAGCATGAATACCCCACTCAGACACATTATACTGACTCCGAGCCGACCAGTCCTTGTTGTACCCATTAATGCCGAGCACCAGGCAGGGACCAATAAGTATCATATTTAACGTCTTTTGGTATGATGCAGTCGGGGATCGAACCCGCGACCTTCCGCTCTCCCGGCGGACGCTCTAACCACTACACCACGGAGGCGGTCTCCTGTCATTGGGCCGAATCATATCTCAACAGGTGAAAACACATTATCAGAGCTTATGAATGAATTCATGTCAACCAGAAGTCGCACGAGAAAGGAAATCATCTCATAGTGGGGTCAGAATGGCAAATGATGTCAAACGAACTGGATTGGAATGCTATCAGTAGTTCAGTGCCACGTGTTTGGGTTATCATGAAAACATTGTGAAGGCTATTTCTATTTGTTGTTTCTCCAACACTGCATTTAGTTGCCACCAATGATAACTTTTGCTTATTTTTATTTCAGGCAGCCAATGGTGTTCCAGCACTCTTGATATACAGAAACCAAGAATTGATAGGAAACTACATCCGATTGTCAGATGAATTTGGAGAGGATTTTTTTGCTTCTGACATAGAGTGCTTTTTACAAGAGTATGTATTGTAATTATATAAGGTGGAGAGAGAGAGAGAGAGAGAGAGAGAGAGTGTGTGTGTGTGTGTGTGTTAACCTCTACACTACCCCATCACCCCTCAATGTCTCAATGTGGAAAGTACATCGAACAAGTAGAATTCAGAATTCCAAGGTCATTCCAGGAAATATAATTCCCATTCGAATTCAGCTTAGTATGTAACAGGAGTTCTGATTGGTCAATACTATTAATTTCAGACCGTATAATCAGCATATAAAAAGACAAAGCAGTGTCATAAATTTAATTTTAAGTTCAAACAACACTGTTAGATCATGAAACAAGATTATGACGTCATTATGGAGCGTGACGCCACCTGCTGTGACGTCATTTCACAACAGAACTGATAATGGCCTGAAGTTGAGGAATCAGCGGCCGCTCATTTCTGATAACTAGAGAGTGGTTTCATCATAACTCCGTCCATTTTATCTATAACACTATGATTTATTCATCATTGTCAGATTTAGACAGTGTGCACATAATAAACGTGTTGAAGTTTGAAAAGGGAACTACTTTTTCTGGCGATGGTGTAAGTTCAATGAGTGATATGATTAACCTTTGACCTGGTTTAAATAATGAATTTCTTTCACGAAAAAAACCCAGCGTAAAACGAGTCGAATTAGAATGGGGATAACTGTGCTGTGTTTGACGAATTGGGGACGTATACCGGTGGTTATATAGCCGCAAATTTAACGTTATATCGGCTCCGCTTTAACGCGCGCCGATATAACTAAATTTGCGGCTATATAACCACCGGTATACGTCCCCAAATCGTCAAACACAGTACAGTTATCCCCTAATTGATATTTGTTGAGAAAAAAACCAAGATAACTGGAATGTCAAATTTTTAAACTTCTTGAAGCAAGGGCTGGCCCGATTCTAGTCGCTAGACTTTAATTACTGGGGTACCTTGTAAATCGTGGCGAGGCGAGGCTTACTTGCCGAGTTGCGTCCCTTGTCTTGTACAAGGTTGCGGCCAACACCACATCGCTCGGGAGCACCCATCTCCCTGGGAGTCGTTGTCCTTAGTGGGGCGGTGGGGTAGCCTAGTGGTTAAAGCGTTGGCTCGTCACGCCGAAGACCCGGGTTCGATTCCCCACATGGGCACAATGTGTTAAGCCCATTTCTGGTGTCCCCCGCCGTGATATTGCTGGAATATTGCTAAAAGCGGCGTAAAACTAAACTCAGTCAGTCAGTCAGTCGTTGTCCTTAGTAAGCCAAAGGGTTCCGGAGAACCCACAACAAGCATAGGAGTTGCGTGCATGCGTAACAGGCCTCCCTTGTACATCGCTATCTACGGTTGTCATCAGTCCACACGTCCCCAATATAACGTTAAATTTGCGGCTATATAACCACCGGTATACGTCCCCAATTCGTCAAACAAGGTACAGTTATCCCTATTCTAATTCAAGTCGTTTACGCTTTTTTTTCGTGAAAGAAATTCATTACTAGTATTTAAACCAGGTCAAAGTTCCTCTGCAATATTTTTCAAAACACGATAAACAGTGGACAAAGGGATGCCTGTTCTACTTGAAATCACTTTAGCTGATCCGATGTCCTTGTTATAATACTCTAAAATCAACTTCCTCTTCTCTAAATCATCCATACTGATGATCAATCACCAAATGGCAATATGAAGGACTTTTGTCCAATACTCTACAGTTCAGGTGGACAAACATGGAATATAAACAGTACAACTACTGGCGCCAATATGGCGTCTCAAAGTACTGTTGAGAACATGCCTATACAGAAATCCAGAGCGAGTTTGGACTGAAAACATTACACGAGACTATTGGTGATACCCAAGTTAACATTCGCACATATCGAGTTTTTGAGGTAGAAGTTCAAACGATATGTGCGAATGTTAACTTTCACAATTTGGTAATCTGTGTTCTGACTGGTCAGTCCAAAAGGTTAGCTGACGCGACCTTCTGCTAGGGTTTGATAGACTCGGTATGGCAGTGTAATAATACTGAGTCTAAGTTTACTTAGCATCTTTTACATGCACACATTTACTCCTGTAAGTATATTTACTTATGGCGTAAATTAACTTACAGGAGTAAAAGTATATTTGCTTTCTGTTCACATGGATATTTGACAAATAGGAGTATATCTGATTTGCATACCACCCAGACATCTGGTTTTGAAGAAGTTTGGTCATTTAATGTTCAGACAGAAAATGAATAGGCTGTTGATTTTAAAATTGCACAGGAGATCTGCAGCATTTGTTAACTACAGGAGCCGTTCAAGAACCTGGTGGACAGACATTGTGCAAGGCACCTTTCATGATGACACGTAGGTAGAGCATTTTCGAATGACTCAAGAAACGTTTGCTGAACTGGGACCCTCATTAGAGTAAGGACTTGCGACCTGAAGCAGTTCAATATCGAAACGTGTAAACTCCCTTGTCGTAACGATTTAAGTAGCTTACGATGTGTCGCGAAAATTGGAACATACCCTATTTCTCACGTCTGATCGCATGCTTCAAGTTCTTTACTACACATCGTACCATGTAAAGGCACCTTTATCATTGTATATTTACAGTGGTACTTGTTATTTTATGGCTATCGTTATCCTAGTAACATCAACGCAGTGGTGTAGTGGATACGGCATCTGTCTTGCACATCAAAGACCCGGGCTGGAACATGTGAGTGCTATCCACAATGTCCCAGTCCACCCAGCTGTAAAATGGATACCCACGAGACTGACAATTTGAGCCATTTGTTCTCTAAGCACCTAACACGCAGCGAGACTGTATGGTCCCCAAGGAGTTCAGAAAGTTTGGAAGGTACAATGGTGTCCAATGACAGGGATAGTAATGTACGTAGCACCTTGTGCATGCAGAAGGCGCGGATATGACATATTAGCGACTATTACGTACTGATGTGCGATATTTTATGCATGAAACGTGATAGATATGCATCACAATCTCTTATGGCACAGGTGGAATTGTTTTTAAACAATCAGACTGTACAATCCACAGGGCTGTTAGAAGAACTACATATAGAAGAAATTACTAATCGCTCTATTTACAGGAAAGGAAAAGACAATTTGAACAATGGAGATAAAATGTAAAATCTTTAAATGAACTCCTGAAACTGATACTGCTGTCAAACTGACTTAATGCTAGGGTTACACCATGTTCCCGACGTCCACGGCAGTCCCGTTTCACCGAAACATAGTGAAACGGGGACAAAACGGGATGGACGTGAGACAACGTAGGGAGACTGACAGGCCGTGGATGCCGTGCCAGATTTTTTAAACTGTTAAAATATTTGCCATGACAGTCACGGTACTAATGAGAAACCTAGTAGGCTGTTAATGAGAAACGTAGTAGGCTGTAGTAAAAAGGAGGGAACGCAACAAAACGTGACAGCACGTAATAGGCCGTAACAAAACTTGTAGACGGTCCGTAGTGGCACGGGAGGCTTGTGTATTCCCCAGCATTTCACGGTCCTTTAAAGTTTTGTCACGTTCGGCCACGTTTGTTTGGCGTTTTGTCACGGTTGTGTCACCCTTGCTGCCCATTTTGTCCCGGTTCTCGCGGCAAGCTAGGTTGTATGGTAGCCGATTCGTCCCGTTCCATCAAGACTCATTCAGGCGTGTGACGGTTTACAGGGCCAGCGAGATACGGCACGTTGCTTTCTCTGTCATTCTCTCTCTCTGCAGCTGATGCTGGCCTTCTTGCTGACGCAGGTGTAAATTTACTCCAGGAGCGGCTTAAGACTGTAACTTCTGGTCATACCAGAATGTGTTGACATGTCTATAGTGGTACAACTCATAGTTTCTGAACATGCAGAGTAGCTTCATGTAGATGACTGGTCATTTATAATTGCCTGGTCAATAACTTGAAATCTGGTGTCCTTGCATAAATGGACACCAATTTGATTTCCTGTGGGTCATTTTCTGACGACCATGTACAGGACTGATTTTTAGCATGTCTGTTCCAAAGTCTCCTAATCACGGAGTGAAACAGACTGAACATTTTTTACCACCCGTGTTTTACCAGCTTGAAGCATGCCCATAGCCCTTCATCACATTGGTAAAGTTAAGATGGTACATGATACCTGTTTCTGATGCGACAGTTCAGGCTAATGTTGGAATGGGGATGAGTCTGCATCTATTTAGTTATCCCTCGCCGTGCTAAGCGGGGGATATAGCATTAGGCTCAGTCCGTCCGTACGAATTGGAATATCTTAAGAACCATTGACTGGATTCTTTTCATACTTGGTACCTAAGTTCATCACAGTATAAGAAAAGTCCCAGTCATGTTTGGCGACCTTTCATTTCAAGGTCATAGGGGACTTTAACGTTATACCCTTGTAGGCGAGATATCCCAAGAACCTTTCTCTGGATTTTCATCATATTTGACACCAAGCTTCATATATAGGGGAAGGCGCAGGGCCCAGTCGATCTTGGTGACCTTCATGTAATTTTCAAGGTCACGACGACACTTTGAAGATTTCATCATGTTAGCCTGCACGTTAAGCTTGTCAGCGAGATATCTCAAGAACCGTTCACTGGATTTTCATCATAATTGACACCAGGCATCATATAGGGAAGGTGCAGGGCCCAGTCGAGGTTGGTGACCTTCGCGTACTTTTCAAGGTCACAGCGACACTTTGAAGATTTCAGTTTGTTAAGATTGTCAGCAAGATATCTCAAGAACCGTTCTCTGGATTTTTATCATATTTGACACCAAGCTTCATATAGGGAAGGCGCAGGGCTCAATCGATTTTGGTGACCTTTCCATAATTTTCAAGGTCACAGCGACACTGAAGATTTCATCATGTTAGCCTGCATATTAAGCTTGTCAGCGAGATATCTCAAGAACCGTTCACTTGATTTACTTTCTTCATATTTGACACAAAGCTTCATATAGGGAAGGCGCAGGGCTCAATCGATTTTGGTGACCTTTCCATAATTGTCAAGGTCACAGCGACACTTTGAAGATTTCAGTTTGTTAAGATTGTCAGCAAGATATCTCAAGAACCGTTCACTGGCTTTTCATCATATTTGACACAAAGCTTCATATAGGGAAGGCGCAGGGCCCAGGCGATCTTCATGTAATTTTCAAGGTCACAGCGACACTTTGAAGATTTCAGTTTGTTAAGATTGTCAGCAAGATATCTCATGAACGGTTCACTGGACTTTGGGTTTTGGGGTTTTTTTATAAGCAATTTCTCTATTACTATTTTTTGCATATTTCATACACCATGACATTCATGTCAAAGTCAAAGTGAGTCTTGAAAATACTTGTGTGTTTGAACAGCTACAGAGCAGAGCTAGATATCAAAAGGGGTTGACTCGTCATGTTTGTGTTGACATCTAACTTCATCTTAAACTACGCCACATGGGTACAATGAGTGAAGCTCATTTCTGGTGTCCCCCGCCGTGATATTGCTGGAATATTGCTAAAAGCGGCGTAAAACCAAACTCAAGTCAGTCAGTCAGTCAGTCTTAAACTACGACATTCACTTTCATTACTCTTTAGGTTTGATTTGATAATTTACGGCGGGGGATTATGTCACCTTAGTGACAACTGCTTGTTTCTATTGGAAACACCTATCTTGTCTGTGTTTCTAATTTTTATTAATTTTGATTTGATTTAAACATATTTATTCAAGAGAATAGATTGGGTACAAGTTATGACAGCTTGGTGAAGCCGTCTCCTATTTACAGTGCTTACATGCAAAAGTGAAACAAACTATATGTACAGGGATAGAAAGATATATACAAAAGGATATATACAATACAATTAATACATGAATTATTTAGATCATAAACATTATATCCAATTACTGAACCTTTTGGAGTTTGATATATATTTTTGAACTTCCTTAAAAATTTGAATATTGTCACTGTACGGAAGATCTGCACTGCCATTTAATAGTACATCTAGGTTGTTGGTGATCTAATGTTACAAGTTCTGCTAATATTTTGAAACATTTCCTGTCTGATATTAGAATACAAAGAACATTCCATAAAATAATGATGAGAAATTTCACAGGTAAAGTTACAATTACATTCGGTGTTCTCTATAAGACCAATTATATATAGATCACCATTTAATCTACTATTTGAATATCTTAGCTGGGTATGAATTACATTGAGTTTTCTATTACCAAATGAGAAATATCCTGGTGCTTTTGACTTACGCGAGCGTATATGCGATTTAAGACTTTTAAGGGAAACTGATTCTCTAACATATAAAGGGAATTATTCCAAAGTTGTGAAGATGATGGGGAAAATGATTGACTGTAGAGATTTGTGCGGGAATAAGACAGGGAAAGATCACGAATGTTTCTCAGATTATAATTTGTCCTACATTCAACAGTTTGAGGCATAAGATCACAAAGATAGGATGGAGCATTTTTGTTGTAGATATTATAGAATGAAGACAGTTTATGACATGTTCTTCTTTCTTTTAACAATTGCCAATCTGTTTCATACGTTAGAGTATTTCTAGTAGCATATTTTGGTAAACCGGTAACTATTCTGCTTGTTCTACTAACACGTGTAGGGTCCTTAATAACATTATACAATGCATTTCGGTTCATGATCTCTCTTAAATGTGAAATTTTATCTGATAAAAGGTCTTCATTCAGATCACCGACAAGTACAAATTTTGATGTAAAGTCAAATGAATTTTCTGTTGAATTTTCTAATCTCTCCCAAAAAGTCACGTCCATGCCTGGGGGTCTATAAGCTGCACAAAGCATGATCGATTTCTGAGGTAAATATATTTCTAACCAAATTGTTTCATCACTACTGTTTTCCAAATCAAAGCTTTTAAAACTCAAATAATTTTTCACATAGATCATGACACCTCCACCAAAAGCTTTTCTATCTTTACGCAATGGTTCGTGAAAACTATCCCATGCTATATTTGTGTTACTGATAGAGTTATCTAAGTGCGTCTCAGTGAAACAAATAATTTGGTTTTCAGATAAGCATTCGTTCAAGTGTGCTAGCTTATGCATCACGCTTCTCGTATTGAGGTGAAATATTTGTAAAGTCTTGTCTAATGATTGAGTTACATCATGCACAGGGCCAGGGTTCAACTCAATGTCACCAGAAATCAGTAACAATAGAAGTAAAATCAGCGCGTTGGTTAACGATGCTGTCACAAAACATAGAGCACATAATACAATCCACGCCTTACACTCTAGGCTAAAGATACACGATGAGGAGCTGAAAAGTCTTGTAAAATAAGCTAGTAGATTTATACGTGGGTTTTTAGATTTAGAGCTTGCTTGATGTGTGATTCCATAAAAAATTCCGATAACAATTCTATGTTGGATTATATCATTACCCATTCTAATGAAAGTTTATACGATATCTATTTACTAACTTTGCTATAGCTGAACTTCGTTAAAGATAGGGGGTGTTCAGGCAATGCAGATCTTCGAGATACTAATGCTATAAGAATGGTAAGTTTGGTATAATAGGTTAGCTAACCGGTAGACATAGGACAAATATGATAGTAATATGTAATCACATGAGAAAAATGCAAACCCGCTTATAGCAAACAATATAGAAGATGGATATACACAACTGGGAAAGCAACAAAAGGAGAGGAACTATGACAAGGTATGATACAATGTAGATAATGTACAATATATATACAATGCAACAGGAATATGTACAATGCAAGTGGGATACTCTAATTCAAAATCGTTATGCAGCTGGAGACGTGTTTATACAGAACGATGGTAGTTTAGACATCAAAACAAACAATCTTTGAAATAAAACTCATTGTGACTCTGTACTTACATGTTTATTAATGCTGACTTGTTCTCGTCACTATATGGCTGGCATAATGCCGATGTGACGTAAAGCCCAACTCAACTCAATTCAAAACAAACTGGTGGTTGTTGCAACTTAGTCTACTAAATACTGATACATCTTTGCTACTGTTGACATAGTGGGACGTTAAAGTCAAGTCAAGAAGTCAAGATCACTTACTAATTTAGGCACTCCATGATAATCCAAAACAATCCGTATGATAATCCAATAAATAAATATATAAATTTTTAAAACCCCTCAATAAAAAAAAGTACAGCCTTGTATAAACATCAGCTCATAAACAACATAAATAACAAATTGTGATATGATCAGTTAGACGTTATCAAAAAATTACATCCTTTTTAGGATGTTTAACTTCACTGAATGACAATTAATCCCTCAGGCATTTTCTTGCTTTTTTCAGACATGGTGTGCTTCCAGCTGAAGAATTATTACCTGGTGTCCGGGATAAAGTTACAGGGGAACTGCGAATACCTTTGTCACAAGACGAGGACAGTGGAAGTGATTTTGAGATTGACTGATAGTAACCGAATTAATTATTCGTTCAAAAGACATTTTTACCAAACTGGAAAATATGATAGCATATTTCCACATGCTACATAACAAGAAGAATTTAGTTGAATCTGCAGATGTCATGAAAAACATTTTTGGTAAGATGGGGACTAATTCAACAGTGATTTGTTCCTTATCAGAAACTTGCCAATCAAAAGTACATTAAGAGTGTTTACATATTCAGTTAGGAGATAATCCTATTGTGTTTACATTTTTGAAGTGATTGGTTGAACGCTGCTAACCGAACACGTTAGCGTGAGGTTTTAAATGCAACATTTAGCAGCGTTCAACCAACTATAATCACTTCAAAAATGTAAACACAATAGGATTATCTCCATTCTACCATGACATATGCACCATGAATAAAACGCTTTTTAAATATGCACTCATTACCCTTGCGTAGTGTTTTGACACTACGCGCAGTGAACCGGCTCTCAGAAGTGGTTATTGAAAAATTTTCACTTCTAATTTTTTAGTAACAGCCAATCAAAAACGAACATACTTAAATGTCATGGTAGAATGAAGAAATAATGTACAAATTTGTAAACATTGTGTACCATAATTGTTGTTCTACGTCATTATTAGTATGTGATGTGTTATAAATGTTCTTATTACCCATATGGTGAAACATAACCAGTGTCATATGTATCATGTGTGCACATGTGCACATATCACTTTTGGATAGCAACCATTTTGTTTCTGTATTTTGTCGTCTGTGACAATTGAACGTGGCGACAATGAAGAGGGCCGTCACACTTGCTTACCATGTTTTACTCATGAATAAAATGGATAATAAAGAACGTATTACACTCGAGCAAGTGTGTCATACCACACTCGCTCTCGCGGGCAATACATAGTTTTGCACAAGTTTCGTATAAGTCATATGTCACACTTATTCGTGTAATAATCTTTATCTATTTTTCAGTAGAGCCACCAATACGCATCTGTTCTATGAATATAGACTGCCTTTGTTCTGCTTGGTCTGACTTTCACAGTATGTGTTTCTGTAAGTTTATGTATAAGTCAGAGACACAGCGCCTTGTACACTTCCTTTTTTGACCAAGATAATAATATGAGCTCATCTGGTTTTCTTCTGCCAGCCATAGAACCACAGGAAGAAAACTTGTTGGTGTTCATGCCATAACATGGTTATTAAAGCTTAGAAGTAGTCAGTGATGTCCGCTTTGGTTGGCTTTCTTAGACATATACGGTACATGAGGATTTTTTTCTTTTTGGCATTAACAGCTGAAAGTTCACTATTTGTGAAACAATTAGAAACAGTGTCATGAATGAAAAAAGTTAATCTCAGAAGGCAATTAGGTTGTGTGTGGAAACTGTGTGTAGACATTTTGGCAGTCTGAGAGAGGGTTACTCGTTGTTTATGTCAGACATAATAGAGATGGATATTGCAGATACTAATTCCAGAACTAGTAGTGATTCCAAGGTTGACAAAAACTCTGTGCCATTCTGATTCCCGCTGTTAGCTGGACAATGACACATTTCAGTAATACCTCCCCTCCTCATGTCAACTTCATCATGTGTGTGATGACTGTCAATTTACTGTCGTCATTGTTTACTGTGTAATTTATCTTTCGTCGTGTTTCCAAACTAGTTATATGTAATAAAATGTATCCTGACTTGTTTTCTGGAGAAAATACAAAGTTCACTACCCTTTAGGGATATTCACATCTTCAAAATTTAATCAACATTAAACAGTATGTTGGAAAATGATGATTTATTTAACTTTTTGTTGTTGATATAGTGAAACAAAATTAAACACTTTGAAACTTGATTTCATGTTGTCATTCTCTGGGCTTCAAATTCAAATGAAAATAATATGCGCAAAATTACTCCAGTTCCAGAGGTACTCAAGTGTGTATTTGGGGTTAAGTGAACAGGGTAAAAGTCAGTCAATACTGACAATGTCGAAGTTGCATGAAATGTGCTTGGCACTCTTTCCAGACTTTTAATTCACCGACCATTTATTGATGTCGTTACCAACTTCAGCTGGGTATATTATCAGAATAGATGTGGTCAGAAGTGAAAAGCATATGAACTTGCATGTGTGTTCAGTTTGAGTCTGAAGCAACTTCCACATGCCTACCAATACATACCACTGCATCTTTATATCAGCCTGCTACACATCATAAAGAATAACCTCAGCACGTGCATCGTCATATGAGCGAAATATTCTTAAGCACGACGTTAAACCCAATTTCACCTCACCTCAGCACGAGCACGTATCCACGTGAAGCCGAGACTCCGAACTATCCAGCAATCGTTTCCAGTAACCGAAATCACGGTTTGTGTTGCATGGACGATTAAGTAATCGCGAGCCATAACTGCTACAGAAAAAGGTCATTTAAACACTGAAGTACTTGTAGAAAGTTGTCAGAGAAATGGTTATAATGTGAACGTCAGAATCAAGATATATTTTTTTTAAGACCACAGACCAATTTACAAAACAAAGAGTACAAGTCATATAACCAGTGAAAGATGTGCTGCATACATAACATCTGTGCTGCTGATGTTACAAAGTCAACCCAATTTGGTTACTGGTCAACCAGAATAGGTACGAATGTTCCTATCAGGTTCGAATATGACGAGAAGTTCAGGAACTACGTTTCCGTTGGGTAGGAGATCGTCTTGCACTGTTTGAAGTTGTACCCAGTTGTTTTACCAAGTATCTTCGCGATACTGTAAAATGTTTACCCATGCAAAGCGTGATGACCTTAGAACTGTTTTATCACCCTCAGAGATTTACAGAGATACAAATTTGGGAAACGAATGGTTTCTGTGAGATAAACGCCCCAGTTTAACAACGTAAGAAATGCATCTTCTAAAATCCCAAACAGCCACGCATAACCGAAGCCGAGAGTAAATATCATATAACGAATGTTTCATGGGCAAGATTGTCTGGATAAAGCAGATTATGTATGGTTCCTGTGCCCCTCTGATGGTCTTCTGTTTCATTACCATATTTAAATCGGAGTTCCAGTGCTAACTTCCAGACTCGTATGTTTCCCCAACACAGAACTCGGATATGTGTGAGAAATTGCCTAAAACAGGTGAAGTAATAAATACTCAAGGATCCGAATTACAAAAGTATGTTTATTCACCACTTGTGCCCTCTCAGTTCGACCTTTCAACAACATGCTACCGAATACATGTACTATCATGTCTATAGTTCTGTCCCCAAAATTCGGAGTAGTAGAAGTTACAGGATCACCTCCATTGTGTGTGCTGGTTTGATATATATGAATACTCTTGTGTTCATGTTTCCACACAACACAGTACAACATGGTTATTCAATCAGATAGAATAACAACAGCTGATCTAAAGTATATGTTGAAGGCCTTTTAAGTACATCCATCTGGACAAATATACTCAAAAACTAGAATAATGTCAATTCGATATTTATAGCCGAAGACAAAAAAGCCAAAGTCAAAGTTCGAATCCCGGATGGGGCTCAACTCTAAAAAAGTATACTAGAATTTGTACTTTACTAAGAAAGTGTAATCCCAAATATAACATGTTACATTTGACCACTTTCAAAATGGCATTGTGTAGTCAGTCATTTCCTTCGGTTCGTATAAAACTGGGGCGGTGGGGTAGCCTAGTGGTTAAAGCGTTGGCTCGTCACGCCGAAGACCCGGGTTCGATTCCCCACATGGGCACAATGTGTTAAGCCCATTTCTGGTGTCCCCCGCCGTGATATTGCTGGAATATTGCTAAAAGCGGCGTAAAACTAAACTCAGTCAGTCAGTCAGTCGTATAAAACTGCAACAATAAGTGATGGTCTACAACATTGATCGCATTTTCATAGTTTGATTGGAGGTGAATAATTACCTGCATATTCGGGGAACCAGCCATTTGGCTCTTTGTTGAAACAATCATCACTCTGCACTTTCTAAGCCAGTATTTAACATCAATGTTCTCTTGACCGTCGGCAACATTCTGGTAATTAAATAATGTGAGACACCTAAGAAAAACATTCGTATAAACGCGCATTATATGCTCTAAAACCGATGAATACAATTAATTCTACGTTTTACATGATATATACAAAAACAGAATCAGTGTTAAACTTTTTACTGCCACGAATTAAATATCATAACATGGAAAGACAATTGTTTCAAGGTTGTGTAACGATCAACAGTCCAAAAAGAATAGGGCAACTGGTACAAGAAAGTTCACACGGCCAGCTAGTAGTGTGTCCATCTTGTGCATTAATGCAGGTCTGACACCTTCGCCTAAAGGCGGCCACTAAACGTAGACGTCGATTTCGACGAAAAGTCCTGGGAAAGATCATTCAATGTCTGATCATGCAGCGTTATTGGACGATTCGAACAACGTTTTTCAATGGGTGACGAATCAGGGGACCTTGCAATTCAAGGAAACGTGACTCATCAGTGAAGAGAACTCTTCCCTATTCACCTGTTCCCCATCGCAAGTGTTGTCTGTTCCACTGGAGACGTCCACGTCGATATTCTGGCGTCAGAATTGGTCTTCGGGCAGGCCGTCATGCGTGGATGCCGTAGAGGCGTATATGTCGTTGAGCTATTGAGCCATGTTGGAATGGGATGTAAAGATTGCCGGATGGAACCTTTATTGGTGATGCAAGGTTCGAATCCAACGGTCTTGTGGGAAGTCACTGCGGCGACGGTCTATAATGCCATAAATGTCAAATGGTATTTCTGTGGACGACACTCTGGCAGCTAGGTACAAAACTGAAGCACACCAGTAGCTCTCCATCTATCATTTTTCCCCAAGGTGTGGCATATTGAACTTGTTCCACAATCATGAAAAGAGGTGTTTTTACTTCACCTAAGACCGCATTGAACTGAAATGATACACGTCCATACTTGATTTTGAGACTCAACACGCCAAAAACAGGTACTGCCTCCTGAACACCTCTCTTTTTTTTCTATAATTGATATTTTTTGTTTCCTGCTTCCCCTGTTACAGAAAAGGCCGTAGAGCCAGGGAACTCTAAGATCCTTTGCAAGAAGGTTAATTGATCACAGGAAAAACAGGATTTTTTTCTAACAAAG